ATAATGATACGGAAGCTCTACCAGAGTCCTATCTTCCATGCAATCTCTTTTCCCCTCCTATTTTTTTCCTTTTCTATTTTACTCTTTCTACACATATTTCTTATAGTGTTTTCCCTTGGGATACACTGGGTGCAGTCTCGCATCGCATCAGTTGCGTGTAAGCGCTACACTACATTAGAGTGGTGCACACCATGTACACTACATCATTATTGCGCTAAAACCCTATTCCCGCTTGACTTCCATTTTCAAATTTTAAATGTCACATTGACTGTACACCGCCCCTTTGAGACGGTGTAGCAAAATCTCACTTTGTGCATAAAATTTGCACCGTAACCACGGAAATACGGATTGGCAGAAATGGTGTCCCCTGGCATTTGGCCATAACAAATAATAACATATAATAAAATAAATAAATAAATATATGATATAATGTATACATATTTTTTATAAATTAAAATTTTTTTTTATTTATTTTATTATATGTTCTTATATTTAAGTGTAAATTTAATTTTGCGATCTTGCGATACAAAATATTAATTTCATTTGTATACTGCAAATTTATAAATGCATGCAAAGCTATTACAATGAGTCTTAAAATTACGCATTAATGTTGTAATTATGCACAGAAATTTTTTACAGTATTAAAAATTTTTATGCATAATTACATTTTGTGCATAATAAAAGTATTATTATGAATAATATTGACGAGCGAGAGACACTGAGATATCTCACTCGTATTAACAAATTTCTGAAACAGCGAAAGGACACCGCAAGCATCACGTTCAATTACGCTTTCTCTCTCAATCGCCTTGCATTAAGGACAGAATATCGGAGCGCCGCCCACTACTTTCTCCCTTCGCGCTCCCTCCTCGCCTCCTCCAGTAACGCGTACGTGTGCGCTTTGGTACGAGTGTGTAGCGCCGCGCGCCGAACGCCATTTCTGTGCGTGTACACCGAATGAGTTTGCTTATTACCAGCCATGGAAACACGGTACATTATCTGAGTGTTGCACTAGTGGGCGATAGCGCAGTCAAAAGAAAACGCTATTAATTTCCTACTGGTCGTCACTTTTCATTACTTACTGGCTGAGAATAAAGAGTGGTCCTCATCACAAGTTTGCTTCTATTTAAATATATTACAGTTTCAATCTTTGACTCAACAACTTTTTCTCATACCACATTTTAATTAAGTTGGACTGCGCATTGCAAGGTATTTTCTCTTTTTTACTATTTACTTTAGGTTTTGAACATTTAAATAGGTTTAATTTATTATATTCTGCTTTATCTTCTTTACCTATTTTATTTCGTATTCTTTTATATTTTATTAAAATTCTGTCTTTTTTATATTTTATATATATATAATATGTATATGAATGACAAATTTCAAACCCTCATTCTCCTCCAATTTCTGAAGAGATACTACAATATATTTTCCCATAATATACTGTTTCCCTTAAAACGAAGCTTTAATTTTTCGTCCAATGTATTCCTCACCAATTTCAACATGTGGCACTGGTCCAGGAAACACAACACTTTTTCTCCTGTTACCGGATGAGAGAAGTACGGTTTGAAGTATTCTTCCACTTCAAAATTGACCTCTAAATTTGTACATATGCTTAAATTAACCATTGCTTCATCAAATGTAACCGAGTGCACTATGACTCCAGTCTCGTGAACTATCCGCAAACACTGCTCTAATAAACTGGTTCTCTCTTCCCCGTTCAGTGAGTCGATTAAAAAATAAGCAACGGGAAATTTCCAATGCTCGTATAACGCGAACATAAAGACTAATGCCTACCTTGCTTTTCTCGGTATAGCGGTATCATTCATCCATTGTCCTACATTGACATATCCTTGAAATTCTTTTCTGTCGTAAAATACTTTTTCTTTAATCGACATTTTGTCTACCACTACATTACAAAATATCGGAGTTTTCGACTTTACATCGTAGGGCGTCCAAAGATTCCTTCGTAAAATCCGGTTGACCATCAACGCTCGCATATCATTTTCTAATAGTGGAAGAATTCGGGAGAAAATTCCCGAACGTACCGATACGCCTTTGCTGAATAAAAATTTAACGTCAAAGCAAATGTTTTGAGTTTCGCTGAATACATTTTCCTTGCGCCCTTTCATTGTTGAAATATTTCATTCATTACGGGTGATACTTCGACCTAGATATTACATTTCATTATTATTATACTTAACGTGTTAGACTGTGTCCACAACTTCGCTTTAAGAGACCCTAAGCCGTAAAGCCGTAAAAAATTGACCAATCACAGTCGATTATTTTTCTCATATTCCCAGCCTTTTTCATTTTAACTTTTTTTTTACTGACATTCAATGTATTGTCAACAGGACATGTATGGAAAAAATGATGACAATGACGATATCGTAAAATAGTATAATATGTTATATTTTAATATTTTCTTATTTAATTAATTATATTTTAAAATAGTCTAACAATATCATTATGTATACGAAAAATTAGTAAAAATATCTCGGTTTAATTAACATCATTTTTTTCATGTACAATTCATGTGTCCAATTTAAATATTAAATATTACAATTGCGATTATTGTAGGTAATTTTTAAATTATTTAATTAAATTCACACTTCACATTGCACTGACAATTATTGTTAATAACATTTCCTAGAAATATTTAAAAATTATGAATCGGTTATAATGCATTCGAAATTACCATTAAATTCTGCAGTGCTTGCTTCCAATAGATATTTTTTCTTCAAGTATTCCACGAGCTACTCCATCGTTTTGATGCAAAGACGTAATCTCCTTTGAGATCTCCTTGCTGCAAGTGTTCAATTATTTTGCGTTGCTTGTGAACAATTCTCCTCGTGATATCAAACGCTCTTTTTGCTTTCCTAGGCGATTGTAAATCTGGACTTTGAATGCCACCAACGAGGGATCCTGCGTAAGGGTATCCCAACAACTGCTTCTGAGTTTTCGCCATTTTTAGAAGTTGATGTCAATGGCAGATTTGCTATTAAAATATAACATACGTATATACATATATTATATGTATATAAACAAATATTTTTAAATAAAGTACCATCTGTGATACCGTCTATAGGGATTGGGACTAAACATGAGGAAGAAATAATCAAATTAATCAAAAATTGATATCACATGTCATACTGCATGTTAAGAAGCGAGTCTAACAAATGTTTATGATAAAACTTGGTATGTGTCGAAATGGCACTTTTTGATCTGAGTACAAAGATTTAACTGCAATTACGCCACAATAGCTACAACACAAGTCGATGTATTAATGTAAAATGGTAGTAACTGTACCTGTCATAGATGAATTGTTCCAATCCATGCTAATAACCATTTCATTCTCGCCAGTACCTCCGTAAGAAACTTCTGCGTATAGTGTTTTAACCTTGTTAAAAATTGTTTCTTTAATACCATTTTTATCGGCTGCGTTGACGTTGCTACCTACTGAACAATTCCCTTCATTACTTATTTATTAATGACTTTTGTACAAAATACCTTAATTATGCAGACAAAATCAATAAAATTTACCTGCCAATATTACATTTCTGTCGTCTTTTGGATATGTACGTTTTTTACGAATGCATGACACAGCATTCACCTTTACAACTGAACCTTTTTGCTTTGCGGATAATATCATCTTCTTAGAAATGATTCAAACACAACTTTGTGTCCGTATTCAAAACATTTTCCTCGATTCTGCAAAACGACCGCTACTTCGCCCGAATTTCCTCACTTTGTGGAAACCTATTTACAGTGCAATAAATACGTCATACATGTAACATCCCACAAGTTCTAAATCAACGGTATTTGATCACATATTTATTTACTTACGCATTGTACGAAGCCGATTTCTTCGTATTGCTACAGAACAATAAGTAATATTTCATTTTTCACTACTTATCGATTGATTGTCGTATACAACGTCAAATAATTACAAACTATGATTGGGTAACCGGAATGCGGAATAGCGGAATGGATTGACGAACGGAACTGAGCATGCGCATTACGAATTTTAGTTTTATCTTTCTCTCTCGCACCTATCTTGGCTTCAGCCCAATGCATTGGAGGTATAGGCAATGAGCGTTCTATGTACTCGTATAACAAGATTGCGGCATTATTTCTTTTCTTTAACTAGTACTT